ACGAGTGTGAGAGTCCAGATAGCTGACTGGTTTGGCTTCGTGACGCGCGAGCTGGCGAATCCTTGGAACTGGGAGGCTGGGCTTAGACCCGCATCGGCATACGGCCTTCATCTGTGGACGATTGGGGCCGAGCTCCGGTGTTCCATGGTTCTCTTTGCCGTGATAGCTGCTTTGGCCCCCTGCTCGAGGCCTCTTGGGAGGGCTAGCTTGTTGCTAGCCTTATTGACATTTTGCGCAATATGGGGGAGGTGGGATATGGTAGCTTTTCTTGCCGGGCTTGGCTTGGCTGTCGAAGATGCCAACGACAATGATGTCGAAACGCAGCATGATGATGCAGGATGTCTAGAAGGCGGCCAATGGCAAATTGCGAATGTAGCCGGGCTTGATGGAGTAGCGCCTGTGGTCACGATAGTGCGTCGTCTGATGCCACCTGTCTCTCTCTTTGCCTCTCTCTGGCTATGCTCTTACCCTGACACCGGTGGCCACGAGGCTTGGAGTTTCGGCATTCTCTCTAGCATTTCGTCCGACAGATACTTGTGGTACACCAGCGGCGCTGTGCTGATGCTCTGGTCTGCACGGAGGACAAGGCCAATTCGACACTTTCTTTCATCATTTGCACCTGTCCAATTTCTTGGACGCATTTCATTTGCTCTGTACCTTGTTCACGAACCCCTCCTGCAGGTTTGGGGTTGGCCTTTAGCTCGTTCATGGTCCGGGACTGCTTGGCCAATTACAGCGCTTGTTTTCATCATAGAGACGTGTGCACTGCTTTGCCTTGCGAGTCTGATGTGGTTGACTGTAGATCAGCCGGTATTACAGATGTGCAAAGTGATGAGGCAATATCTTTTATGATTATACATTATAGAAGATCAATTGGATTTCTGAATAATCACAAATTCTGACATCCTTGGGACGTAAGCAGATCTTAGTGGTAATTTGCCTACAATTTCTGAGCCGATAATTGTTCATAACCATCAGGTATGCTCTTGTCCTTTACTACTACATTTGATACTAACAAGGCTTCGCGTGCTTCCAGCTTTTGTGACACCTAGAAGACGGTTGCATCAAAGAGCAACATATGCTTTTTTCTTCCACCTAGAATAATCCTCCACTTCGCTAGCGCACCTCTACCGTTCCTTGTGGCTGGCATCTTGCTGAGGGGCTACTAAAAGTGAAGGTTGTACTCCGTGCGCCTATCATAGACGTTTTTTGCGAGAATGGTGTCGGGCATGTCTGCCTCCGAACAGGATGTTGATTGAGCCCTCCGTACTGGAAGATTTGTTCGTACGCGGGCGTCCATCCATCGGTCCGGTTACCAACTTCCTGGTCTTCGACCCAAAAGCGCCATGAGGCCAGGTCACCGCATGTCTTTGCCGGCCGGTATTGAAGCAGTAGCTTTCCCCGCGGTGTACCTGCCAGCGCTTTCGAAAAATAGTCTGCCACCTCTCGGTTTACCCGCTGGCTGTCTGAATGATGGCGTCTGTTTGGGTCGTTGAGCTTTCGGTAAAGTCCGTTAGCGACCATTGCCGGGGCGTAGTCGATGACTTCCACGGGGATATCTCCGTATGTCTGAGTGAGGTTATGAGCGAGTCTCTGTACGGATCGTTGGTATTGGATATGCCCTCTATTGATGGTCGTGTCATGCATCAAAACATCATCAGAGAGAAATTCGCCGTTACCGAGCTCCCGTTGAGGCCTTGGTCGAGGCGTCACGATGAAGGCACGCATTCCAAGGCTCTGTGGGGTTTCTTCGTCATCGCCGAACATGACGCCGGCATTACCCCTTCTCGGTTTCCGGATCAGATCATCCAGGCCATATTGGAAAAGTCTATGTGAAGGGTGATTCGGAGGAAGACCTTCATGCATCTCTTCCAGGACGCGATATCTGAACTTCGGCTCGAACGACATGTCCTCCTCGAAGATGTGGCTGATCCAGGCTCCGCGTCGGGAGACGAGAACTACCGAGGTGCAACCATAAAGACCCTCTAGCGCTAGGGCTGTCACTTCTGACTTGAAAACAACCCAGTTCGATGTGATCATACCAACATCGTCATGATCCACGTGCTCGGAGACACCATGTCTGACAAATTTGGGTTCGTATCCGATGTCGAACTCAGGCATTTTGTCGTGGTTTGAAATGTCACGGACCTCCTCTTGCAGAAATCTGTCTTTGTTTGTATAATAGCTTGGGTCTGGCCAGTCACCCCGAGCCGGGGCACTTCGTTTTTGGCTTCGTTCTGGTAAGAGTGACTTCGACCTCTGCTTAGGCGTTGCTGAGCGAGCCATTTTCGCGCAAGGACCTGGAGTACTAGCTGTTTCTTTCAGAATCTCAGTCGGTCTCTTGGGAACCGTCCGTCGGATGAGACTGGTAATGACGTGTTTTGTGATAGACGTATAGCCACTGCTCATGAGGTTGCGTGTGGGTTGAGGTTGCTGAGTGCACAGTGGGTCTATTACAAGCAAGGGATTAGCAGGTCAAAGGTTTGCTGGTCTCAAAGGCGATAGTAACCTACTTTGCATCACGAAACTCGAGGCAAGCTTGGCGATAACTGGATAACTGACGGTGGTTGATTGATTTGGCGACAAAACTGCGGTCAGCCTCCATTATGAGGTTGTCCGGTACTTGCGTTGTAGCCATTTTTATCTTACCCATATGTGTAGTTCTGTGGTAAGGATAAGACATTTTTAGATTGAAGTCTGAATTTGGTACAGATGCTGGCGGCGAAACAACTTTCGAACTTCTGGTCGTCGATAAAAAAGCGGGCTTATCGGCCGCGGTCCCGTCGTAGATAGTTGCATGGGTGCTCGTCTGGCTCGATTTTGGTGTTTCAGTGCTCATAAATAGACCCCCAGTCTGAAGTAAGGTCAAAACACCAAACAAAAATAGGAATACCGGTCTTGGCTTACCACTAAGGAGTTCTGCTGAGACGTTGAAACCGACCAGGTGCAAAGCCAAACTTCATCTGGCCAGAACACCCAGAGTACAATTGAGGTTTTTTCACAACGACACCAGCCGTTCTGCTGCAAGCGACCGCCCAAGCTTTTGGTTGCAGTTCTCATTGATCGATTACAAAAATTTCATATAGAAAGTAAAAAGTTTATTAAAGCTTTTCTAGTATGGGATAAACACGATACTCACGAACGGAACAATAATTAGGGACATTGAGGACGTCACGGATTCGAAGGACGACGAGGACAGGAAGAGCGACGGTAATAGAACGAAGGAAAAAACGATCTAGCAATCCCCCGCGTTTTCAAGCCGGAAGTATGCAGCCGAAAAGCAGAACTACTATTAAGAAACTTTGCTGGTACTCAGCATATGAGGCTCAATTCTTGTCGTCATGGCTGGAATCCCTACTAGAAGCTGCGCGGTGTTATTTCAGCAACTACCTCAATTATTACTGCCACTCTACAAACACCGCCATACATATTCTCCCAGACATTTCAAAAAGATTGCGCAGGTCTTAAGTGAATAATTTTTATCGAATTTGCCTCCAAGCGCTTTCCTCCCTTGAAGTCCTTGCTTTAATTGCTATCGACATAGTACATCACGGGCGACAACAAAATCGTGATTACTAGGCATTGTAGAATGAAACCGCAACCCTGGCTTCTTTCCACGATCATGTCTGATTTTTCCGTTGGAGATTCTGGGTTTTGAGTCTTACACGGCGCAAACTAATTCAAGAAACATGATTCTAGCAAGCAGTCTGTGGAGTCCCCATGTTCCCCACGGCTGCTTAGTTCCCCGTCCACCATTTTCACGGATCATTTCCCCGAGATCTTCATAAACGGTATTCGCCGAACTCAATCATGATTATGAAGCACATGGGTCTATTAGCCTACGACACGCATGCAAAAGCCGGACTTGAACTTGGCTGTACACAATCCTAACCTATCGATCGAGCACAGTTGTGAGGTGACATACAGAATCAAAGTAGCCAAACCTTGCTTATTTGCGGACCGCGGCGGGAAAAGCGGCTTCGGTCAGTGGGGGGGGGGGGGGTTGATCCGTGTACAGTCTGACGTGATTTTAACATTGAAGTATATCTCAGTTCATCCCTACGGACTGTTAGGGTTTGGCTGCACGTACCCGACGTCCGGGATGCAATGCAAATATGCACAGAAGACAGGCTCGATAAGACATCCCTTTGCAGCAGTATCACCCCGAGCTCACCCCCACTTGATATGATTACGGGAGATCACTCGTGACGGAAAACCTTCTGGCCGGAATGCGACAGGCGCGCGGGAGAGGGCCCGCTGCGGACAGATGCCATATTGTTTTGCCCGTGTAGGGTCGCATCGACAGGAGGCTAGGAGCTGACCCTGGGCGCCAAGAGCCGGTCTGTGCGACGATTGATTGATCGTATCCTGTTTTTGAAGATACCGGACTCTGAGCCGGCGGGCTGAAGAAATGGTCGAAATCACCTCATGGCTGAAAGTGTCATCGACTCGTGATTCAAAGGTGCACTTCCAACAGCTCTGTGCGTTAACAAATACGAGTCGAATCTCATGAATTTCCGTCAGATTGAACGACAACCCCATGTCATGGCCAGATAGACGAGAGCCTGCAGTCCAGACGATGCAAGTGACCCAAGCCACCACGTTTATCAGCCAATACCCGCCGGAATGACTCGCATCTTCACTCTTCATAGGCGAAAGATGCCTACCTCCCTGCTGATCTGCAGGGGTACATACAATCTGCCGGCTGTCAGCTCTCTTCTCGGTAAGCACTGTAACCATTTGATTCATGATCCTGAAGCACGCCCGCCTGGGCAGCTCGGGGACATCGGAAAGAGAAAACCTGTATTCGTCCGAATAGCAAGATGGGATAGATAAAAACATGGACCCCAGAGTTTTCTGGGGTTCGCTCTTTCTTAAGTTCAACCAATGTCTTGGCTCCATCGATCGCAGGTTCGTTAATCCACAGTCAAGCCGTGACCATGGATGAAAGCCCACACGGTCGTCAGCTGGCGAGGAGTACGCCCATGCCAGCATTCAACATGACTCAAAGGGCTTGTATCGGATTCAATGCTTCCTTTATCATCTTCATTGTCTTCGTCATTGGGATCAGACTTTACTCCAGATACGGCATCACCAAGTCGGGAGGCCCAGATGATAGTATGTGCCGAGTACGTGCCTTCATAGCTAAGTTCGATAGCTGATGTATCGTGATAGTCGTGATGGTTGCTGGCACCGTAGGCACTATGATCTTCATTCGAGGAACACTATCTTGACACCGTCTCGCAGATCGCGACAATTATCATGTCAATATGCATCGTTATTTCTGTCTCTAATGGCCTCGGACTCATTAGTAAGAGACGGGATCTCCTGCGAATACCCGAGCATGGCTGACATGGCGTTTAGTCGCCGACATTCCACCCGAAAGTTGGAAGCCCATGTTACTTGTTCGTCGTTCCCCGCCCATGGTCCACGTGTTATCGCACGTCAAACCATTCAAGACTCTAACATGGCATAGGCTTTCTGGATCTCCCGAGTCTTCTACGCCTTCGCTTTGACGCTAGTAAAGATAGCCCTGCTGCTGTTTTACCTGCGTCTCGATCACCGACCAAGAATGCGATGGATAGTGTTTGGGTTGATGGCGGTCGTCATCGCGACGGGGATCGCCCACGCCGGCATTTCCATCTTCGAGTGCAGCCCGCCTGCAATATTCTGGACATTTGGAGGCAACTTTAGGATATTTGGAGAACACTGCATGACGGCGGCTACGCAACAAAAGTTCTGGGACGCGACTGGGGCCATTGTTGTGGTGACGGACCTGTGCTTATGGCTTTGCCCGATACCCATGGTCTGGTCGTTGCAGCTTCCCATAGTAAGACACCTTTCATCTCCAGCCTGGGTTGTGTCAGGTCGCTAATCTTGGGACTACAGCGTCAGAGGATAGCGGTTTCTGCCGTATTTGCCCTCGGAATAATTTCTGTTGCAGGTATGTCTCTAGCACACCATCCACCATGCCCTCTTCTTTCATCCTGCTGACAATCAAAGCTGCCTGTACGCGCTTCTACTACGTACGAAAACTGGCATCGACAAAAGAGATCTACCAACAATTTGCCGAGTCACTTATCTGGTACTCGCTGGAGATTTACCTCGCCATCTTCTGTGGATGCACCTCTGCCTTCAAGGTCTTTCTCAGGAAACATTTCCAATCGCTACTGGGCTCCTTAGCTTCCAAGACCAGATACGTCCTCGGTAGTAGCGGCAAGAACGGCAATGTGAGAATGACGGCTTCATCGTTTCCCATGCAGAACTTATCAGGGCGGCACACGGGACGAAGAACCACGATCACGGCGGTTGATACTTGTGAAGGGTCTGAAGCGCGGAACGAGGTTCCGCCAACTAATGATAGTGAAGAGGCTATTGTTCCCAAAGCCATCGTCACCAATTGGGATTCACGTAAGGAATAGGGTTAGTAGTCGATGAGTTTAGTCTCAGATGTAATGGAACAGGAGTAACGGAAATGGAAATACTCAGATTCTTGAGGCCTGTGAAATGGTAAACTTTGTGCCTTGGTCGATGGACTCCACGTCTCGAATATCTGATTACTAATGCACCTCTATCTCTGCACACGTCGTTTTGGTCCTCGTTAGTACGGGGAGAGAAACCTGATGTAGGATCGGGCTATCGATTGAAAGTGTTTAGATGGCGGTCAAAGGTCCCTCACTGGTGTTTCGGGAAGAGACTGATGCAAATGCACGAAATACCACCCTACAAGATGATGCTCGTCCAGGTGTGAATAGCAAATCCCATGTCGTTAAAACTTTGAGCTGAAAAAATGTCTGAAACAAGTGTCTCGGCTACAGCGGGCCAGCCCTTTGCGTAGCCCTCGTTGAGAGGCCGCGGATACGGTAAACTTTGTGATGAGATGTCGCAGATGGGCTTAGGCAACCGATTTCGTCTAGCCGAAGGCCTTAAAGAATGATTCCCACGTGAATTGAGTGCTTTAATGAACGTAGACAGGGGACTAAGCATTTAGTCTATGTCTCTGGTCTGAGGCCAATTCATATGCCGAGCGAATGATACTGGTGTTTACTGTCACCGGTTTGGTGGCTTGAACCTCGAATTACACTAGCGACAGACCGAACGTGCAAATGGAATAATTTATTGCTCACGGTCAGGCTCAACGCCCAAGTGATAGCCAGTGTGATGAGTTCCTTTCCTGTGGTCATACGAGGAGCCATTCCTCAGACGAATGCATCCATGCCACGGAATTGTAGGATGGAATCTCAGCTGTGAACGCTGGGAATAACTGTTTCAAACCGTGTGGCTAGCTGAGTAACTTGCTCGGGCTGGGTGTTCAGCGCCTTGTCTCACAACGCTGGCATCAGCTCTCTGACTCCAAGGCACTCAGCAAACCTCGGTAATGCAACCGAGTACTTGCAATTAAATGTACTTATAGACTCAATTCCCGTGCTTCGCAACTTACACATACCTGTCTATCATCTAAAAAGTCTTCACACCAATCAGTCTTTTCTTGAAATCCTGATTACACATCATCATGGCTGTTGTCCATCAAGAGGAATGGGAAGCGGCGCTGCCTTACCCTACAGTTGACACCGGCAAGGCTCCGAGTGGTGTCTATGCCCTTGTGTCTCCAAAGCCTGCGAAGGTCAGGTCCAGGGACAGCGGTATTCACTACAACCACTGGTTCCGCACTCCGGTCAGCACCATCCTGATCTGATCCCGATACTTGCTTCGGAGCTGACATACAAACATGGACAGGCCCTTGACCTTGACACCATTAAACGAATCAAGAAGGTTTACCTCCATACCGAGTCCCATGATCAAGGGCGCTGCGACAATCCAGCTGGCGGAACGTGGACCTGGTTTGCTGCTGGCATTATTTCCAAGACCATTCTGATATGTTCGATAGCCGGGTAATACTCTCGGCATCCGCCTTTGCGCTCAATATCCGGGCTGGGCCTTATACGCGCAAAAAGGCCACCTTGTCATTGAACTTGGTCCAAGTGGTAAGCTCTGATGGTGTTCTTCCAAATGCCTCGCATGATTTCTCACATTGGCACAGAGGAGAAGAAGCCCGTGAACTACGACTCCATCCAAGCGCAGACTTTGCAGTTCCAGAACATCATCGGCGACATGAACAAGCAATTGTACCCAGACATTGCAGAGTCTGTTGAGCTTCCAGAAAACCTCTTCCATGCCACAAAGGTGGACACGAAAGACAATCGACGTCTTCGTGTGTTGGCACTAGGTAAGACCACATTTCGTTCTACGTTAGGCGCTTCCTAATAGTGAAGCATGCTTTAATATTTGCAAGCGGCCTAAAGAGTATTGACATCTTGTAGACAGCGGCGGAGTTCGTGGACTAGCGGCTCTTACAATCCTGGACCAAGTGATGGTTGCAACTTACGGTGAAGGGTACACCAAGAAGCCTTGCGAAGTGTTCGACATCATAGGCGGTACCAGCACCGGAGGGTATGTAACCTACACCGCAATACCATGAGAACACGTCTGACATCAAGCCTTTACTCAGGTTCATCGCCATCATGTTGGGGCGATTGAAGATGACCGTCACAGAGTGCATCGAAGAGTACAAAGCGTTCATGCCCGAAATCTTCCCTCCTCCTCCGAAAGGATATAGCCCACTTAGTAAGTTTTTGAATGGTATTAAAAACGCGGGGAATGCTGTTGTAGCTGGCTGGAACGGGGAGAAGTACGACTCGAGCCAGCTGGAGACCCTCATCAAGCAGCTCGTTGAGAAGTACCTCAAGAAACATACTGGGAAGACCGTTGATGGCAACACCGAGCCTCTCAAAGAGGATGACATCGAAAAGAATGAAGATTCTTGTAGAGTGTGAGTTGCAAGGGTACCCTGGAAAGTTTTTGCATATCTAATAAAGTCAGGTTCGTGACCGCAGTCAGTAGGACGGATAGCAACAGACGCCCACCCGTCTTACTTCGCTCCTACGTCACAGACAAAGCCAATGAGCTACCCAATATAAAACTTTGGGAAGCAGCAAGAGCGACCTCTGCGGCACCCTCGTACTTCAAGGATATCACCGTTGGGGATTACACGTTTGTAGACGGGGGTCTGCAAGCCAACAACCCACTTGGCTGGTATGTCGAGGCCTTCCCGAGTGCATTTTGCGTCTGATATTCACCAATGACAGGGTTTGGAACGAAGTCCTCACCGTGTTCGGCCCGGCCCGCGATACCACCTGCTTTTTGAGCATTGGAACCGGTGTCCCTATCGCCAGCATACTACCGCGTATTGAATTAAACTGGGCAAATGTAAAGAACCCAGGAGCCATCGTGGAGGGTTTTGCGTCACTAGCGACCAATACCGAAGTCATCAACACGCTTTTCCGCTCGCTCATCAACAATTTTGGCCCCAGGAGTCAAGTTCCGAAGTACTGGCGTTTCAATGTTGGCGACGGACTACCGGAGTACATTATTGACAAGAATGTGTGGGAGGCAAGCAATAAAGACGGTCTGGGAGATGTTGACATCGAGATGGACGACTCAGCGAAGGTTCTTGAGATTGAGACGCAGGCGAAGAAGTACCTCGAATCCGATAGGGCCAAGGAGCTGCTTCACGAATGCGCCGAGGCGTTGTTGCAGGCTGAGAAGCCCATCGAGGCAGCTCTCCCGACACCGCCATTGGATAAGACTTTCTCGTGAGGCAGCAAGGCTGTCCCTGTATGGCCATGTCGGTGGTCTTCCATATATCTGTCTTCTCCATGAAGTAAATGCGATGTATTCACATGAACCTTCGGTTGGACGTCCCCACCTTAATCCCCACTGTGAGCTCACCTCACTGATTGCCGCAAGTAATGCATCACGATTCGAGTTGTTATCTGGATTACGTCGGTCAGTTTGGGTGCCCAAATTCCACGGTCGAGCAATTCGCTCGATCAATTCAAGGCTAAGACTTGATCATAATTCTCGTATGATATGTCTGTCTGGGGAAGTGATGTCGTCTCAAATCACCCATGGAATGAACCTCGCCGTCTTCGCATGCCACCGAACCCAATCCTCCTTAAACTCCTCCTTCAACATGGCCTCCTCCTCCACGACTCTTGTTCCAACCCCTGTCAAAAACAAACAACCCCCAATAGCCAGACCAGCCATCTCGACCCCCGTCAAGGCCCTCACCATGTCCGGCCGGATCCAACATCCCAGCACCCCATCCAGTCGCGCAAGCAGCGCGATGTTGCACAGAACAAGCACTACAACGGCAGTGTAACTCGGGTGCTGCATGTACGCATAGATCCCCGTGGTCCGCAGCCCGCTCGGCTTCGTCAGCGCAAACGTGAAGTTCTTGCCGAGGTGGCGGTACGGGATGAGACGCAGTGGGACACCAACGAAGAAGAGCAGCGCGAGCGGGATGGCCGTGGAGGGGGACCATGTGATGAGGTCGGTGTTGAGGTTCTGCGCGCCGTGGCCGAGCAGGGCTGGCGGCAGGTCGGGATATTTGTAAGCGAGCCACGCAGCATGCGAGGAGAGAAGCGCAAAGGGGATGATCATGAACTTGGCGAAGTGGTTGTGGGTGAACTTCCACATGTGTATTGAGTCGCGGATTGGTTGGCCCTTTTGGTCGGTCGTCGGAGGGGCGTCGGCGGGTCGCGGATTTGGAGGCGAGATCGCGATATAGGTGCCGTAGGTTGAGGCTACATAGGCCGCAGCCAGGGATAACTGTGAGAAGCTCATCGTGAACGACTGCTCTGCCTTTGGTGATGTGAAATGAGATGTTGAGGTTATTGATTTGGAAGTGGAAAGTGGCGGGGATTTGAAGTCGGAGGAAGGTTAGTGACGTTTGGTGGCAATGGCACGGGCCACTTTTAGCGGCCCGCGCTAGTCGATTCAACAGCTGGGAACCCTGAAGAATTAGCGCGAAGGGAGAATTGAAAAAGAGACATGATGCGACTGTGATGCAAACATGAATTTCCGACCCAGTTGTTGGTGCCTCGCCGCTGAATTGTCGTGTGTTCGTGAGATATGTCGCTTACACTGCGCCAACCGTCCACCGGGATGCTGAATTAGGGAAATGCGACCCCTGTCGTTCTCGCGCAGGCGGCTGATTTGGCGGCAGAACGGTTGTTGGCCAAGCCGGTCTCGCCCGCGATTGGTGTAACTGCAACTACATCTCTTCACGATGGAGCCGTTGTCATTTGAGAACGCCATTCAAGACCGACTGAATGAACTCGATCCCGTTATCGCATTACAACGTGGGCGCCGTTGTAGAGATTTCTTAGCCGGCGAGAGCAGGGTTGTGGTCCTCGGTGCATCACGTAATTTCCCTTATGTACATCTGAAATCTTATCCGCATCTTCTCGTCCCAATCTGAGTCACATCGATTGTAGTGTAAATGAAATATTTGTATTGACTCGAGTGGTAGACCAATTGTCTCTCTCAAGCCATCCTTAACAATCTTTTTTTTCATCCA